CTTGGCTTATATCGAAATCCTCCGACATTTTTCTTTACAAATCTTCGTTTTGTACTTCTAATTCATGACCAGTGTTTTGTTTTGCTCTTTCTGCTGCGCTTCCGCACTCGTCACTTCTTACCGGACCTTATGCTACATCCTACATCATCCGCTGGAATCAACGCACGTACGACAGTAAGCGGAAGCTAGAGATTACCATTTATAAAGTTTTAAATATGGATATTTTTCTTACAAAAACGCATTGATTCGCTTTAGGAGGCCTTTATTCACCCCCGGAGCCACGTGGGACACTCTTTATGATGAATGGATGCACTTTATTTGACTTCTTTTGGACTATTGAAAAATAACACCCACGTTATAAAGCTTAGAAGAGCCAGGATATTTTTTTTAAATCATGAGGTAATTTTCATTTTTGGGTGAACTATCCCTTTAATAGTGTGTCTAAGTTCTACTCCATTTTAAATTTATGTATATAAAGTTGTATATATATATATATATATATATATATACACACACACACACACAACATAAGGGTAATATGTGTGAATAATATAAGTAATTTAGCTTGATCTGTATTACCTAAAAACTTACTTAAAAACTAGGTTCTGCCTTTCAAACCTTATTCCAGAAGGACCAGCAGGCAACAAATTGCAGGATGACCCCTGTGATGACTGTTAAAGGGCATTTCTGAGATATAGGACAATGTTAAAATGGTTAATGCACTGTAAATAAGTGTTGACTTACAGTGAGACTGTTCTGTTGGGAAATGACTCTGGTGAAGGCACCTGATGGAGCTCCATGTTACTGCAGACCACTTTTCTGTCCAGCGTGGCCCCAGACGGAGAGCTTTTCCCCGCACTTCTGGAGCGTTCATCGTATGATTTACATTCAGAGGATCCAGCAGAGCTCGAGCTCCTGAGCAGCACGAAAGCCAGTAAAAGGACGCAAGAAGCGCCCAGCGACATCCCTCCTGCCTTCGCTGAGATTCACACGGCAAGAAGAGGGGGATAGATTAGCATATAAATAGCCCAGAAAGCCTTTTGTTGTTGTTTATATCTAAACACGACGCAAATTCGTCAAAAGCCATCAAGCAAAGACGCAGGTCAGCACTCCTTTTAAGTCATGGTCAAAATATTGACTCGACGCAACATTAGATGGGTCGATTTATCATGGTTTTGTGCTCTGCACATTAAGCAGCGGTCGAATATCCTCCTTTGTTTTCCATAAGATTCATTTTACAACTCTACAAGCCCTCTCCAGTTGATCTGTAGCAAGTTTCCACTGTTTTACGCGAAGGTGCTCCACTTTAAGTCGCTACATTAGCTTTGTTTCAGTCGAAGTGGAGAGACGCCGCTCCTCCACCAAGAGACAGCTGCAACCATCCCAAGATAACAGTCTCACAAACTCAAGGAAATCTGATCACAAAAACACTTTTCCTCTGCGCTCATCTCATCGCACATTTGGCCTCCAAAGGAAAGCGAAAGCGTTTCTACACGGTTGCTCTTCTACGATTCCATAAAAACGCGAAATATCCGCGTGCTCAACAATAAAACCATTCTTGAGAAACTGAACGCGTAAAGTTGGTTTTCACTTTGCGACTGTTCCACATAGGCTTCAATGCTGCTGTCGACCGCAACGGTAAAGACGCTTTTCGAAGGATCCAAGCGGAATGCGTAACGCAGAGCCCCAGACAGAGTGCGATCCGTGCAGACGGTCAGAACGCGTCCAGCGCGGGGTGTGCTGTTCTTCTCCGGACCCCGGGCTCCATGTTCCATTTCCTCCCCTGACGTCATCATAGGTTTGGCCTGAACTCCAGTCAACACCGATCCCTTCTTCAGTCAAACCCACTGCTGTTGCCCGATCCTTCCATTTAAAATATATTCTGTGCTATTACACTGACACTTCCAACAAGTCTGTGGAATATATATATATATATATATCTGGAAAGCATCTGCTGTGTACAAACATCTGATAGACGTCTCTAAAATGTCAGTTTTACATACATTCTAAATCATAAAAATTTTAAAGACATCTTCTAAATGTCTATTTGACATATGCTAGGAAATGTCGTATAGACGTATTGCAGATGTAAACACAGACGTCTCCGTGATGTACGTGATGCTATCAGGGATGTGATTGATAAGGTCCCTTATATTTTTAGAGTGTTTGCTCATCTGCAATACAGACATTTCCTATCAGACTTTTTTTTTCATATATTAATTTTGCTTATGTACAGGTGTTTGTTTGTTTTCATTGTGTTTATGTGTTCCTTTTGTTTGTTACAAATGAAATTTTGGGTAATGCTCATTAATATTCAGTGTTTATACAGCATCATTTCTGCTTGCTTAATAAACAAACAAACAAATACAGACATAAATACATAAATAAATAGTTTAAGTTTTAATTTAAATTTTAAAACTTAAAACTATAATTACATTTTAGTTTCCATGCTTTTCTGGGCTAGCAAATTATTTCAACTTTTAGTCATTTAAACTTGCTAAAATTGTTAGTGTATACAACTGGGCCGAATTTTCAGAGATGATTGAATTGAGATACACGATATAGTGTGTGTGTGTGTGTGTACGCGCGTTTTTGTGACAAATGAGGACATAAATTTGTATAATGACAAAGGTATGACATAGGTATTACAAGGAGAAGATGACTTTTCAGGACATTACCCCATGTCCCCACTTTTCAAAACGCTTATAAATCACACAGAATGGAGTGTATTGAAAATCTGAAATAGCACAAAGTTTCCTGTAAGGGGTAGGTTTAGGGGTAGGGTTGGTGTAGGGCAATAGAATATACGGTCTGTACAGTATAAAAACCATTACGCCTATGGGATGTCCCCACTTTTCACAAAAACAAACCTGCGTGTGTGTGTGTGTGTGTGTGTGTGTGTGTGTGTTTGTGTGTGTGTGTTTAAGATTTAAGTAAATTACACAAAATAAAAATGTGATTAAAATGTGACAAAAATATAACTGACCCACTTCTGTCGTTAACTAACTGTATGAAAAAGGACATCCATTTCCTTTCAAGATTACAGCTTTCCATTACAAAACCACAAAACAAAATGCAACACAATACCAAAGAATCTTGATCCATTGTGGAGGTTCTCATTTGTTTATTAGTGGCCCTCACAAAAGGCTCTCTTTACACTGCTGTGCTAAAAACAAGTTCAGACAGGTTGGCAGTAAAAACAAGGTAGCCTATAGACGGGCTCTCATAGCAGAACAACCTGAAGAGAACAATGCCTTGTGTGCAGCGTTTGTGACACTGAATCGAGTGGAGATGTTTCTGTTTCCAATGGGAGCATCGATCTTTCTCATATATTGTCTTTTTGATCAGGGACAATTTAGAAGCCGTGTGTAGAGAGGACTGCACTGCATGCAGGTCTTTGTCCTTGGGCTATTCAATTTTCATTTCCATTAGTAGCCTAATATTTGCTTTTTAGTATTTTAAGAAACTTGAGATGCGGTACAGACTTGCATTACAGACTGATCAGAATCGGAATGAGCTTTATTCGCCAAGTGTGTGCACACACAAGGAATTTGTTGTGTTTTTTTTTAGGAGCTCTTGGTACATACATACATACATACATATATGACACTGAGAACAGAAAGAACATTTAAATAAGTAACTAAGACTAAGGAAAAAATAAAATAAATAAATAAATAATAATGAAGTATAATAAAGTAAAACCGTACTCTGTGAGATGTATTTAAAAAAAATAAAATAATTAAATGTAACTTTTAAAAGATTTGTTGGGTGTCGTGCTGGAGGTGCGAAAGGTTATCGAAATGAAAGCAGAAGTATTTTATTTAGCTCTTTCAACACTGCGATAACGTCGTGTCGTTGTCCCTTCATTATCGTCCTTTAAAAATGTCTGACCTTTTTTAACACGACTTTTCGTGGGGAGCTGAGACTGCTACTTATCAAATAACTTAGAAGGTCAAGTTTACACTAGTGCTCATATTTACTGTAGTATTCCGACGAAATGGTTATCGACTCATTTGCAAATCCAGGGTGGAATCACGACCATTTGCAGTTAGTAAGAACACAAAAAGTACTATACTTTAATGTGGTATCATTGTAATATCATAGTTTTTTGGATATTTACCATGGTAATTATATGGTAGCCTATACTTTAAAGTACCTTATACTACCATGCGCATACCATGCTATAATATCACTGTGTCATAGCACCACCACAGTAATTTTTGTTAAAAGTAGATTTTTTTTTAATGGATTTTTTCTGTAGCAGTCAAGTTTTCAACTTTGTTATTTGACAGCTGTACATTATGAAAAATTAAGTGTTAATATGTATAATGTAGGTCTAAACTTTCAGATGAATTTCCTAACTGTCTTGCAGGTGGCTGGGATATGGATGGTAGAGGCCCCAGCGTATGGGACACATTCTGCCATGCCAAAGGAAAGGATGGGTGTTTGAAGACCATACTGGAGATGTAGCCTGTAACAGCTATCAGCTCTGGGAAGAGTACCTGAAATGTATCCAGCAGCTGGGACTCACCCATTACCGTCTGTCCATATCCTGGTCACGGCTCCTTCCCGACAGAACCACAAATCATGTCAATCCAAAAGGTGATCCGGGACAAATTTTACTATTCTTTACTCTTTAAAATTACTATGAAATCAAAATGGATGATTCTGTTTTTTTTTTTTTTTAAATAAAATTAAATTGCAGCAATTAGTAAACGACAACAATCCAATCAGTTTCCAATGGATAAAATCAAGTTCTGCCATACATCTCTCCTCATTTCTGAAGCCGTTGAACTCAGATAAACATCAATAGAGTAGTATATACAGTATATATATATATATATATATATATATACTACTCTATTGATGTTTATATTTCAAGAATTTAACTTGATGTACTAAAATAAATAAAAGTAAATAAACTATAACTAATTAATAAAAACTATGAAGACACATAGTAAAAAAACTAATACAAATGACAAAAACATGCAACAAAATTACTAAAACTTGAAAATATACATCAAAACAAAATAGTAAAAAATTCAAAATATTAACAAAAGCTATAATAGTATATCAAAGATACTAAAATAACACTGCATTAGAGAAGAACATTTCCATTTCATGTCGACTTTTTACATTCTGTTTGCTGAAACAGTTTTGGCCTGTTTGTTACCATAACATTATACTCCATGAAGTTTCTTTACTGTGTGCTTGATGCTTTTTTGTAACCCTCAGGTGTGGCGTATTATAACAAAGTGATCGACGACTTGATTGCTTGTGCCGTGACCCCCATGATCACATTGTACCACATGGACTTACCACAGGCCTTGCAGGATCTCGGCAGATGGAGCTCAACAGAGATTGCAGACATCTTTGAAAGTTATGCCAGGTTTTGCTTTAAGATCTTTGGGGACAGAGTGAAGCTGTGGATCACACTGAACGAGCCCTATGTTTGTGCCAAGTTGGGCCATGAGGATGGGACCTTTGCCCCTGGGATCAAAGATCCAGGAATATCAGTTTACTTGGCGGGTCATAACATGCTGCGTGCCTACACCAAAGCCTGGCATACTTATAATAATTATTTCAGGCCTTTACAAGCAGGGCAAGTATCTCTTGCCCTGAACAGTGACTGGGCAGAGCCGCTGGACGCGGGCTCTCCTAAACATGCTGCAGCCACTGAGCGCTACAAGGACTTCACTCTAGACTGGTTTGCCTGTCCTTTGTTTTGCACAGGAGATTACCCAGAGTCCATGAGGTCCAGGATTGAGTCTAGGAGCTTGGATCTGGGATACAAGCAGGGCTCAAGGCTCCCACACTTCTCAAAGGATGAGCCCTGTCCTCTGGGCACGGCGGATTTCTTTGCACTGAATTATTACACGTCTCGGAAAGTAAAAGATTTAAATGGTGGTAGTAAGAAGAATGAGCTCAGTTTTGTGTGCGATCAGGGGGCAGAGGTTGTTGTTGACCCATCGTGGCCCATTTGTGGGGTGCACTGGTTGGCCGTTGTTCCTGATGGATTGCGGAAATTGCTCAAATATATAAAGGTACTTTCATTTATTTGAACAAGTATCTACACTAGGGGTCGACCGATATATTTACTGATTATTACAGATCAAGTAGACCGAGAACCGATATATGTAAAGATGAAAATTGATGTCAAAATTAAGAATAACAAGGGCTCTGACAAAAACTCTTTAAATGCTTTTAAATAATTTTATCGGCAAATCGGTTTTGGAACTGACCGATACCGATAACCATAAAAAAGCTTAATATCGGCACCGATAATCGGTCGACCCCCAATCTACACATTATATTTAATTGGGTGTATATTCATTATATAGAGATATATTGGCATATTAACAAAATCATAAGCATTTGCTTGTTTCTTTAGGACACATACACCAGTCTGCCCATTTATATCACAGAAAATGGCTTTTCCCAGATGGGGCCGGTTCAGATAGAAGATACCGACCATTCCCAGTTCTATCAGGACACTCTGCAGGAAGTTGGTAAAGGTACTGTCATATTAACACTGCTCAATGTGTAATAAAATACAGAGAGCAAAGTTCATTTTACACAGTTAGACTATAATGCCATTGTGTGCTTATCAAGTGTACTGAATGTGCACTTGTAGTCTACTTAAAATCTTAAAAGTATTTTTTTTTAATATATTTGCAGATAATATAATATTAATAAATTATAAGACATAAAGAGAGTACACATTAAAGAGTCAAACACTAAACA